CCTCCCAAGAGCTGGGGTTACAGGGGCCCGCTGCCATGCCCAGGCTTAATTGCCGGCTCAGTGTGCCCTGGGGATGGGCCAGCGCTGTGACTGAACCCTCGGCCCTGAGCCTGCCTGCAGGTGCTTTAATCCGCTGAGCTATTTGGCCGGCCCATTTCTGAAAAATTCTAATTCATAGAACTGGTAATCTTAGTTGAATGCTTCCTAAACTTCAGGTAATGTGCTATGTAAATTACACATCAATTACTTCTTTTATCAACCTCTGCGATTAGTACTATTTTTTAAAAATTTTATTTATTTATTTATTTATTTATTTATGTGTGTGTGGCCAGCTCAGCCCACCAGGAGACGGGCTGGCTGGCATGTGGTGCTGGGGGATTGAACCGCTGTCCCTGTGCTTTGCTAAGCTTGTTCTAAGTAGGTGCTTTAGACCACTAAGCCATCTCACCAGCCCCGCGATTAGTACTATTATGGTCCCCACTTTACAAATGATGTAAACGAAGCCTGGTGAGATTGACTTACTTGTGGTCACACATAGGCAAAGGCTGGATTCACTTATTTGTCTATTCAATTTGGCCCTTTTAATCCCAGCTCTTGGGAGGCCTTAAGGTATAAGTCACTTTTTAAAAACTACCTTTCCATTCTATGTAACATAAGTCACTATTTTTTTTTTACTTAATATTGAGAAGCATTTAACAATGATCTGTCTTTGTAAATGAGTATGCTGCAAAATTAGGAATAAAATGGCTCTTCCAAAGCAGAAGATACTTTCTAAAAAAAGACTTATTTATTTGCTACGCAGCTCAGACTCATAATGATCCTCCTGTCTCAGCTTCCCCAGCACTGAGATTACAGGTATGCATCACAACACCCAGTTTCAGTGGCCAGCACAGTGTGGGGCTGGCTGGCATGTGGTACCCAGGATCGAACCCAGGTCCTGCACTTGCCAGGCAGGTGCTTAGACTGCTGAGCTATCTCCTTGGTCCAGAAGATATTTAAAAAAAAAAAACTTTATTTCTGCACAGACACAGGAAACTAAACTTAGAGATCATTTTCTCCTATTTATGACTCAGTACTCATAAAAGCCATCATTATGCTAGATGCTCTTTCTTTTCAGTCACCATTTATTACACATAAAAGAAAAAATACATTTTAATAGCATATGTAATGGCACCTTCAACTTGCTACTGTACTTAAAAATAACTACTGATCAACGCCATAATGAACTCAGAGGGTCTTGGGTTGCTGGAACCATCATATTTGAATTGGCCAGTAATGGCATTAGAGATAATCCATAAATCCCTTGAAGCCTTGGGGAGTGGAGCACAGAGCCTGTCTGTTTAACTACAGTAGTCATGTTCTCTTTTTGAAAGTTTCCCAAACATTAATAAGAAAAAGCAAAGCCACACAGCAGCACTTATGCTGTTAACCAAACTAAGCAGGGATTCCCCAAGAGAGAAAAGTGCTGAAAGACAGACACACCTCTGGCTCCAAAAAGCCAGAAGAGCTGTCTCATGTGGCCAGATGGAATCTATCCACAGTTCCCTAATACCCTCAAACCCCACATGCTGCCCTGGTTCTCAGCCTGGCTTTTGGATTCCATTTCAAAATGCATGACATCACAGGCATGTTATACAAAGCTGGAGGCCAGAAAGCACAAGTTAAAATGTCCCTCACATTTTAACAAGGGTGATAAAGGGACACTGAATCTTCTGTGGTTTAACTTTAGGTATGTGTATTGCTGGAAGACTGGCTTGTCACATACAGGACACAATGTAGTGATATATAAATCCAACTGCATAAGGAATGGGGTCAGGAGGGAGGGAGATCCAAGCACTACAACAACCCTATTCCACATCACAGGAAATTGTGGTCCTACAAACACAGGTATAATCTTCCTAATTTAACGATTTTTTTTTTAATCTTAAAGATGTTAACCAACACACAGGACTTCTAAATCCAAGAATTACTGTTTAAAAAAATACCTAGGCAAGCTGCAGTCCCAGAGAGTATGAAAGGCCTCCTAGTTGAGCAAACTCACTGCACTACGTGTCTGCAGGAGGGGACAGAGTGAAGAAACACAGACTGTTGTGTGACAGAGAGCTCTAGTTTTCCACTGCTTTGCCAGGCTACCCTTTCTTTCTCCATCCTGTTAGCCTCCTGCAAAGTGTTTGCAATTCACTGTCCTTCCTTCCAAAAGCCAGGTGACACAGAATCAGCTTTTCCAGCTCTGACTGCAAGTTGGGGGCTGCCTGACGGAAAAAAAAAAAAAAAAAAAAAAAAAAAAACTGAAATAAAATCAAAAGCAAGAAAAGCAAATACACAAGACGCCCGTCTGACAACCACGGAGTGTGAAACGGGCTTGTGAACCGGCCACCCCCTCCCAAGGAAATAAAGGAATCGTCTGAACGCCCAAGTCACTTCCTGCAGACCCTCTGCTGCAGGTCGTGCCACTCCAACAAACCTCTGCAAAAGCGCAGTCTCTCCCCCAAGCCAGCCTGCCAAATTCAAATTGTCAGGCGGCAGTTACCTAGAGCTGGTGAGCCCTGGACCCAAGTGCCGAGCAATCAATCCACTAGGAGTTCGAAAAGCAAGGCGCGGGGGAGAGACGGGATAGGAAATCCTACAGGTGGAGGCGGCTTCCGCGCCGGCGCCGCCCGCTCACCTGGTACACGTCCCGCAGCCCGCACCACGTCCGCAGCACCTGGTGGCACGCCCGCAGCCTCTCGGTGTACCATCTCCGCAGCGTGGACACTGTCAGGTTCCACACGAAGCGGCTGCCGCTGAACAGCAGGTCCTCCACGCCGCACGTGAACGCCGAGGCCATGCCTCCTCCGGCCGGCCGAGCCCGGGGATCTCCCGTAGGCGCAGTAGCAGCCCCAACCCCGCGGCGCGTCCGCCCCGGCTCCCCACGCCGGCGTCTGCTGGGACAGCTCCGGGCAGAGCCTGCCACCAAAGTCGGCGCTCAGCGTGCGTCCCGCCAGGCTCGGCGGCGTGGCCCGGGCTTGGGCGCCCGCCAGCGCACGGCTGCGGCTGCACACAGAAGCCCAGTGTCTGCCCCGCCCGCCGGCGGGGCGAGCTGCGCTAAGCTCCACCAGGCAAGCGCGGGGCGCCCGGGGGCGCTGGAAGCCCGGGCGGGTGAGGACTCCCCCTGGCGCTCCCCGGGGGCGGGAAGGGAAGGGCAGGGCAGGGAATCCGCGAGACTCTGCAGGCGACAAGGGGAGCTGCATTTCAGCGCACTTGGCTAGCACGTCCTGCGCGCGCGCGTGTGTACACACACACACACACACACACACACACACACACACACACGGTCGTCTGTATAACTGGGGAGAGCCTTACTCTCCCTGACAGATCTTCGCATCTTGCTCTGTCCACACTTAAAAACCCCTCTGAGAAAGCCACACATGCAGAGGGAAAAACAAAAATCCGCCAAAGCATCCCTTTGGACCTCGCTCCCAGGGGACCGTCCTGAATGTTTCCTTGGTTTTGCTGCAGCTGGAGATGGAGAGACTAGCTCAAAAGGACAGCTCGTATGCGCTCCAGAACCCGCCTTTGCTCCTGCCTCGAGGGTCTCCAGAGCGTGACAACCCGCTGCTGCCGCCAACCAGAGGACGCCTAGCGCTCCATGCTGCTGCCACGAACGCAGGCTGTCGGTGCAGGAGGAAAACAAGGAGTTTTTGGTGCCTAGCAATCAGCTTTCTGTCATTTGCTGCAAAACAGCCCACGTGAGGGTCCTTGGTTTGTTTCTAGAAAATTCATCCTCTGAATATGTCTAGCCTCAGCTCAGGGCCTCCTTAGCTTTTCCTCCTCTCAAAACCAACACCAACCAACCAACCAACCCATCAATCAACCAAACAACAACAACAACAAACAATCCCTTTTTAAGGTTCTCCCTCAGAAATTGATGTTGTTTAAGGCATTTGGGAAAGGGACCCAGAAGGCTCCACATGCCATCAATCTCTAGCTTCCTCTCAAACATTCCGGAAAGTCAGTGCCGTATAATTCTGGAACACTTCTCATAGCCAAAACACTGCAGCAAATTTTCGAGTGGAGTGTTTTCCTCACTCCATCTACAAGACAGTGGTCTGGATTTTATGGGTAGTTTTACGCCTGGGTTTGTTATCTTTGCTATTAAGCAGCAGAAAGGTGAGGAGCCCACTCCTTTCTCCCCAACTAACACAGGAGGCTTGAGAACAGATTATCAACAAGTAAATCAGCTTTACTTCAGGTTTCAAATGTGCCTTTAGAATATTAATTCAGGTGAAACTCAGTCAGTCAAAAGAGGAAGAACACAAAATCTGTTCTCAAGGGGCCTGCTGTTTTCCAAGTGACTGTTTTTTTTAACAAATAAAAAAATTGCCTAAGAGGTTTTTTTTTTTTTTTTTTCCTAAGCATTTTTTGTTGGATCAGTTATGAAGAGCCAAGACCGTATTCAAGATTTAGCTATCTTTCTTTGCAGGAAATGTATTCTATATGCACATTAGTGTTAGCATTCTGACAGTATTTTCCAACACGATGGTTACAATGTTTACACAGAATCTGAGTATGCAAAATTTTATTAAATGAAAGAAAATGAAGCAAGGATAGTTTGAAAAAGAAATGTCATCATGCTGATGATAGAAAACAACTATTCAAGCATGGCCTGTTAGTACAGTAAGAGTCAATGGTGGTGATACCTTCTCTAATGATGACATTGGACTGTGTTCTCGGAAATGTCAGGCAGCTGAGGGAGTACCAGAATACCACCTCCAGGAGGTCAATTACCTGTGTCTCATGACACCATCCCCTGAGACGAGATGCACAGAGAAACACCTTGGTAGATAGTGATCTTTGCATAGTTCTGTTCTCGGTGGCCAATTTCAACTTAGCCATTTTCGCTCAAGGTTTCCAAGTCAGCATTTATACTGTTTTTTAGAAAATAGACCATGGTGTAAGAAGGATTCCCAGATACAGTTATTGGCCAGCAGGTAGACATCATCTGGGGAATCTGCTAGAGAAAAAAAAATTAGGACACTTTAGAGAAAGAAACTAAGGGGATAAGATCAGTGGTTTGAGTTTTACTCAAACTCATGCAGAGACTGAAGTCATGAAGGTAGAACACAGTGTTCAGGAGCTGATCCTCCTAGGACAAACACTTGTAATTTCTTTTTCTTTTTTGTTTTTTGGGACTGGGGATTGATCCCATGGCTTGGCATTCAGCCACATCCTGAGTCCTTTACGAGATGAGGACTTGCCAAGTTGCCCGTGTTTGGCTCCTATTTGCAGTCCTCCTACCCTCACTGGGGTTATAAGTGAGCACCACCCTACCTGGCTGACATACCCTTCTCCTCAAGATCCCTCAGACTTTGCATATGATTCAGTGTCTTCAAGAGTACCATGGAGACAACATCAGAATCTGCTATTTAAGGTTAGGGAGGATTAGGTAAAATGTTCTTTGTGAAATAGCATGGGGGCTGACAAAGGCGAGCAGCCATGGAAGACAAACCACCTCTTCACTAAAATCAGGAATTGTTTCAGCTTTTTTATTCAGATAAAACAACATAAGTAAAACAGATTTCATTCAACTGATTATCTAGATCTATTTTCCTGCCTCTTTCTGCTTGCTGGGGATGAAGTTTGTAGTGACTGGATCTCTCTCTCTCTCTCTCTCTCTCTCTCTCTCTCTCTCTCTCTCGCTCTCTGTCTGTCTCTCTCTGTGTGGGAGGAGTTCTGTTGCTATTCTTTACATTCCCATTAAAGTTTCGCAACTTGATCTTCCCCAGCAACACCAACCCTGACTGTTGTGGACTCCAGGAAGTGGAGTGTGCTCAAGAGAGAGAACTCCTTCCACCAACATATACGCTGATGCTGTTTCTTTAACAGAATGGCTCTCTTCTCCCATGGAATTCAGTTTGAAGTTTGAGGAAAAGGAGGGTATTAGAGGGAAGGAAGTCAGTTCCTCCAGTCCAGGGGCTGATCCTGGATGGCAGTGAATGCAGATGGGCAGCAGTTGATAAAAGAGTGATCCAAGTGGTACATCAGTCTTAAAATGGACACAAGGGACACCACAGATTCCAGATACACACCTTGTGGGTAAGTTAAAGTCTTCCATGGAAAGAGAGCTAAATTGAGCAAGTTTCAAAATTGTCTCGCTTTTTTTTATTTTAAGGAGTTTTCTTCTTCTCTGGTTTCTGTGCTCCCTGCAATACACTGTAATTTCCTGCGGCTCTCTCCTGAGGCTTAGGGGAATGATTCAGGTGACAGCATTACTCATGCACCTGGGAGTTTGACTGTGAACATCGAAGAGAAATTGTCACGATCCCCAGAGTTCCCACCGGTTCTCCTCTAAGCAGTCAGCTGGAAGGAGAGATCACAGTGCCAGGAAGATGCACAGAAGGCCAACCCCTATCTGAGAGGGCTAGCATGCTGGGAACCTCACAGGGTACCAGAAAAAGTCCACCTGATGTCTGTGGAAACCTGGGTTCCCATCCGAGAAGCCCATGTGGCTAAGTGCTGATGGAGAAGGAGTGTCCGACACAGGGCTGGAGGTAGATGAAAGCAAAGTCTAACCCCTCAAACTCCTGCCCCCCCCAAAACATTTGACAATGTCTAGAGTCATTTTTGATTGTCACAACTGAGGATTGCTCCTGGCATCCACTAGGCAGCAGTGTGTGATCTGCTGAACGACCAAAAATGCAGGGCACCATCCGCATAGCATAGGACCGTCCTGGCCCCAAGCGGCCTGGAAGAAGGCAGAGGAACCCCAATCTAGTGAAACACCACCCCACCCCTACTCTGTACCTCATGTGATTTTTTTTCATTGTCCACAACATTCCTCTCTCTTTATATTTTCTCCCACAAAGTCAGCGGGGACAAAATGAAATAGTTCCTCTATCACAAATTTTACACCTTCACAAAGGAGCATGCAGTATGATTGCAAAACAGAACAAATGATTAAAATTTTAAAATTATTATAATAAAAGACAAATTGCTATTAATTTCCCTCAGAATGCTCCCTCTTGCTTTGCATGCCATTATCACACCATTTTTCCTAGTTTCTGAAGTAGTGCTGCAAGTCTTCTTTCACGCATGCCTTGGGCTGTCCTGTCACGGTTGCCTGCATGCCAAATGCTTCGTGGTCCTCCAGACTCTAGGTAGAATCTGGAAGTTGCAGGCTCCAGAGCAATGAGAAAGGTGGCTGAGGGCACAGCACAATGTTTTCAGGAGACTGGATGACATTTGGGAGCAGCATTCAGCATATGCATGATCATATCCCATAAAGCCACTCATGAAGAAAATTCCAGAGAAACTGTGGACACAGATTAATAGTAATGTGCCTTTTACTCTAATAATTTTTTTTTACAATTTAAACATTAACCTTATATTTTATTCACCATTGCATCATGAACTCAACATCTTTTGAGAAAATATTGGAACAAAATTTCCCATTATTTTCTTGCATTTAAAAAAAATCTGCCATAAAAAGGAGCAATAATTTTTACCATGAGCTATTTATATTTCCATACTTTATTTTAATTTAAATAGAAGCACCTTAGTAGGAGTAAAGCCTTTTTTTGGTATGTTTTAAAAAATGTTACCAGGCACAGACCCCAATATTGAAGGCTGTCTCCTTTCCTGCACACACCTGGCTACAAGTCTCTTGCTGTACTTGGGACCAGGCACTGACACCTCCACCTCACTTTTCTCTGCTATGCTGTGAGGAGCTCATGATGTGACATGGAGAAGGGGCTGGCTGGGGTGGTAGCTCTCGTGGTGAGGAGTGTCACATACATTGGGAGGGCTTTAGTGACCAAAATGCCAGTCATGCCTCTGATCATCACCACAGTGGCAACAAAGAGCTGCTCTGTGGTTTTTTGAATGCTACTGGGCTGGTAGCAGTGAGCCCTCTTCAGAAGCCACTGCTGCAAGCGAGGGAAGGGTCTTATTCATAGCTCTTTCCCAGGGGCTGGCACATAACAGGCAATCAGTAAACATTTACTGAACTGAATAATGAATATTTATCTCAGTGGTGAATGTAGAAAGTAGTTTGTCTATGCTCGAAATATATACCCTTATTCATTAAAAGTCACATGTTGTGGGGCTGATGGAGAGCTTGCCTAGCATGTGCAAGGCCCTGGGACGGACCCCTA